TGGTAACGTGGCGGTAACGTGGTGGTGGTAACGTGGTGGTGACGTGGTGGTGGTAACGTGGTGGTGGTAACGTGGTGGTGATAACGTGGCGGTAACGTGGTGGTGGTAACGTGGTGGTGACGTGGTGGTGGTAACGTGGTGGTGGTAACGTGGTGGTGATAACGTGGTGGTGGTAACGTGGTGGTGGTAACGTGGCGGTAACGTGGTGGTGGTAACGTGGTGGTGGTAACGTGGCGGTAACGTGGTGGTGGTAACGTGGTGGTGGTGACGTGGTGGTAACGTGGTGGTGGTAACGTGGCGGTAACGTGGTGGTGGTAACGTGGTGGTAACGTGGTGGTGGTAACGTGGTGGTGGTAACGTGGTGGTGCTAACGTGGTGGTGCTAACGTGGCGGTGCTAACGTGGCGGTGCTAACGTGGTGGTAACGTGGTGGCCACGTGGTGACGTCGTCGTCGTGGTAACGTGGTGGTAACGTGATGGTAACGTGGTGGTAACGTGGCGTTGACAGTCGGGCAAGCCCATCTGCGGCAACGCGCTGGTGGAGTTGGGGGAGGAGTGCGACTGCGGCTACTCGGACCAGTGCCAAGATCGCTGCTGCCACCACGCCAACTCAGAGGAACTTTGGTGCAGGCCGAGGCCAAACATGGCTTGCAGCTGTAACGGGTTCCGGAGACACTTGTAGATGTAACTTCTTTATTCCACTCCAACAGCACTCCAACACTCCAACTCTCCACACTCCTGATACTCTGTTACAGCCTAGGTACACAGCCTAGGTACACAGCCTAGGTACTCTACTCAGGAACACACCCTCACAAGGTCGTAGATTCGGGAGTTCCAGAGTCCCACACCACTGGCTCTCACAGCGTCCCAGGGTCCTCCGATGGCTGGTCTTGGGTCTTGAGTTACGACTGGGCCCTGATCGTCCAGGGAGCTCTCCTTTTATGCCTGGTCCAACGAGCACAGACGTGCACGCACGCGCACGCACGCGCACGCTTTTATTTGTTTTATTTATTACTAGCAAAAAGTACACGGCGTTGCCCGGGGCTTAAAACTATTTCAAAACTACTCTTGAAAATGTAACAGCAGTGTGTACTGACTGTGGTGGTACCTGCTTTGACTGCAGCAGTGCATACTGACTGTGGTGGTACCTGCTATGATTACAGCAGTGCATACTGTGGTGGTACCTGCTATGATTACAGCAGTGCATACTGACTGTGGTGGTACCTGCTATGATTACAGCAGTGCATACTGTGGTGGTACCTGCTATGATTACAGCAGTGCATACTGTGGTGGTACCTGCTATGATTACAGCAGTGCATACCGACTGTGGTGGTACCTGCTATGATTACAGCAGTGCATACCGACTGTGGTGGTACCTGCTATCACTACAGTAGTACATGCTGACTTTATAGCAGTATTTATCGACTCTATAGCACAAAGTACTCACCTGACAGAGTGGCGTGGTGAGGTCTAGTCCCTTGCAGAGCCTCCGGCGTCGCCTAGCTTGTCCAGCCGGCCCACACCCCCCCAGGAACGATGATGCCGGCCGCTCTGCAGTAATATCTACGGCCTATAGTGGTAGCATCTACCGGCTGTATAGTAGTAATACTGGTAGGAACGAAGTGGACCAGACCACCAATAGATTAATGTGTCCGTCCGTCTGTCTGTCTGTCCGACAAGATGGCCGCCCGCTCCCCCTGCGATCTGTGAACTAAACAAGATGGCCGGCGCCTCACGGCGAAACTTTAAACTTCGCTTCAAAATTACTTCACCGAAACGCAGCACGTTTTTTAAACACAGAGACAAGAAACCTTTATTAACACAGAGACGAGATACATTTAATCGCCGTATTTGTGCACGAAAAGCGCGGCTTCGCGAGGCCTACTGCAGAGGCTTCGCGAGGCCTAGTGCAGAGGCTTCGCGAGGCCTAGTGCGGCAGGCTTCGCGAGGCCTAGTGCAGAAGGCTTCGCTAAGTCTACTGCAGAGAAGGGCTTCGCGAGGCCTAGTGCACTTCGCGAGGCCTAGTGCAGAGGCTTCGCGAGGCCTAGTGCAGCAGGCTTCGCGAGGCCTAGTGCAGCAGGCTTCGCGAGGCCTAGTGCAGCAGGCTTCGCGAGGCCTAGTGCAGAGGCTTCGCGAGGCCTAGTGCGGCAGGCTTCGCGAGGCCTAGTGCGGCAGGCTTCGCGAGGCCTAGTGCAGCAGGCTTCGCGAGGCCTAGTGCGGCAGGCTTCGCGAGGCCTAGTGCGGCAGGCTTCGCGAGGCCTAGTGCGGCAGGCTTCGCGAGGCCTAGTGCAGAGGCTTCGCGAGGCCTAGTGCAGCAGGCTTCGCGAGGCCTAGTGCGGCAGGCTTCGCGAGGCCTAGTGCGGCAGGCTTCGCGAGGCCTAGTGCGGCAGGCTTCGCGAGGCCTAGTGCGGCAGGCTTCGCGAGGCCTAGTGCGGCAGGCTTCGCGAGGCCTAGTGCGGCAGGCTTCGCGAGGCCTAGTGCAGCAGGCTTCGCGAGGCCTAGTGCGGCAGGCTTCGCGAGGCCTAGTGCAGCAGGCTTCGCGAGGCCTAGTGCGGCAGGCTTCGCGAGGCCTAGTGCAGAAGGTGGTGGTGGGGGTGGTGGGGTGGTGGTGGTGGGGTTGGGTGGTGGTGGGGGGGGTGGTGAGGGCTGGTGGGGGGTGGTGGGTCTTTAAATCTCACAGCGTGTCTTGTCAAAACAAACACTTTTAATTAACGTTACACTAGAATAGTAATTTTTTCTTTAACTCGTCTATACCCGGTCGATATCCCTGTACCGGTACTAAGTATTATTCCTACCAGCCCACCCCGCAGGGTCCTGTTAACTGCACGCATTGTGGTGGAAGGGACATGAGACAGTGAAGAATTTAGTGTATTTTATAGGATTTTAGACCTGACCCTCACTCATACTGAAGGCGAGTGACTTGGCATGGGCCATCCTCCCCACCAAATGCGTGCGAGTTGCTATGGTCATGCACGCGTCATAAATAGGGTTTTTTTAGGTTTTTTGGGGGTTTTAGGGTTTTTTAGGGTTTTAGGGTTTTAAAAGCAAATCCTGGAAGGAAAAATCGAAGGGAAAAAACGACCAGGACGGCCAAAAACGACATGGCTCAGTAACATCAAAACGTGGCTACAATTAACAACAGCACAAACTCTACACGCCGTGCTAGACCGGGACCAATATCATCGTGAAGTCGCACACGCCGTTAGGCAGCACTCAAGAAGAAGAAGAATGGTCTTTTAGGGGGATTTGGGGGGTTGTTAGGGTTTTAAGGTTTTTTAGGGGTTTTTATGGTTTTTTGGGGTCTTTTAGGGTTTTTAGAGGTGTTTTAGGGTTTTTAGGGTTTTTATGGTTTTTCTCAGGGTTTTAGGGTTTTTTAGGGTCTTTTTGGGTTTTTGGGGGTTTTACGGTTTTTTTAAGGGGGTTTGGGGTCTTTTAGGGTTTTTCAAGGTTTATAGGGTTTTTTAAGGTTTTATAGGGTTTTTTGGGGTTTTGGAGGATTTTTTAGGGCTTTTTAGGGTTTTTTTTATGGTCTTTCAGGGTTTTTTGGGGGTTTTTGGGGTTTTCGGGGTTTTTAGGGATCTTTTAGGGTATTTTTAGGTTTTTTGGGGTTTTATGGTTTTCAGGGGTTTTTATGTGTTTTTTGGGGTCTTTTAGGGTTTTTAGGGGTATTTTAGGGTTTTTTGGGGTCTTTTACGGTTTTTAGCGTTTTATAGGTTTTTTTGTGGGTTTTTTGGGTTTTATGGTTTTTTGGGGTTTTAAAAGTTTTTTTTTGTTTTTTTGTGTTTTTTGGGGTTTAGGGTTTTTAAGGGTTATTTAGGTTTTTTCTTTTTAGGTTTTTTAAGGGTTTAAGTTTTTTTAGGGTTTTTGGGGTTTTTAGGGTTTTTGGAGTTTTAGGGTTTTTTTAGGGCTTTTAGGGTTTTTAGGGTCTTTTAGGGTTTTTACGGTTTTTTGGGGTCTTTTTATGGTTTTAAGGGTTTCTTAGGTTTTTTTTAGGTGTTTTGGGTTTTTAGGGTTTTTTTTGGTGTTTAGGATCTTTTAGCGGTTTTTTGTATGGTCTTTCGGGGTTTTTGGGGGGTTTTTGGGGTTTTCGGGGTTTTTAGGGATCTTTTAGGGTATTTTTAGGTTTTTTGCGGTTTTATGGTTTTCAGGGGTTTGTTTTTTGGGGTCTTTTAGGGTTTTTAGGGATATTTTAGGGTTTTTTGGGGTCTTTTACTGTTTTTAGCGTTTTATAGGTTTTTTAGGTTTTATGGTTTTTTGGGGTTTTAGGGTTTTTAAAGTTTTTTTTTGTTTTTTTGTGTTTTTTGGGGTTTTGGGTTTTTAAGGGTTATTTAGGTTTTTTCTTTTTAGGTTTTTTGGGTTTTTAAGGGTTTGAGGTCTTTTAGGGTTTTTTGGGGTTTTTAGGGTTTTGGAGTTTTAGGGCTTTTAGGGTTTTTAGGGTTTTTGGGGTCTTTTAGGGTTTTTACGGTTTTTTGGGGTCTTTTATGGTTTTAAGGGTTTCTTAGGTTTTTTTAGGTGTTTTGGGTTTTTAGGGTTTTTTTGGGTGTTTAGGATCTTTTAGGGTTTTTTTTTTAGGGTTTTTGGGGTTATAGGATTTTTTAGGTTTTTTGGGGGGTTTTGGGGGTCTTTTAGGGGTTTTATAGGGTTTTTAGGTGTTTTAAAGGGTTTTGGGTTTTTTTAGGGTTTTTGGGGTCTTTTAGGGTTTAGTAGGTTTTTCTTAGGGGTTTTTGGGGTCTTTTAGGGGTTTTTTTGGGTTTTATAAGGTTTTTTAGGGTTATTGGGTTTTTTTAGAGTTTTATTTAGGGTTTTTCGGGTCTTTTAGGGGTTTTTGGGGGTTTTTGGGGTTTTAGGGGTTTTTAGGGTTTGTTGGTGTCTTTGAGTGTTTTTAGGGTTTTTATGTTCTTTGGGGGGTTTTTTATTTTTGGGGTTTTTGGTTTTTTTAGGGTTATGGGTTTTTATGGTCTTTTAGGGGTTTTTTTTTAGGGTTTTAGGGTTTTTAGAGTCTTTTAGGATTTTTCGGGGGTTTTTAGGGTTTTTGGGGTTCTAGGATTTTTTAGGTTTTTTGGGGGGTTTTGAGGGTCTTTTAGGGGTTTATAGGGTTTATTAGGGTTTTTTTACGGTTTATCGGGGTCTTTTCGGGTTTTGTGAGGTTTTTAGGGGTTTTAAAGGGTTTTTGGGTTTTTAAGGGTTTTTTGGGGTCTTTTAGGGGTTTTAGGGTTTTATAGGATTTTCTTAGGGGTTTTTGTGGTCTTTTAGGGTTTTATAAGGTTTTATAGGGTTATTGGGTTTTTAGGGGATTTTTGGGGTTTTCGGGGTTTTTAGGGTCTTTTAGGGTTTTTAGGGTACACAGTGCGTGTGTGTGTGCACCGTGTGTGTGTATGTACATGGTGTGTGTGTGTGTGTACACAGTGTGTGTACACGGTGTGTGTGTGTGCACATGGTGTGTGTGTACACAGTGTGTGTACACGGTGTGTGTGCGGTGCAGGGCCACCACCTTGTGCCACACAGGGGCAGCTGCTACTTGGGGATGCTCTTCGAGTGTTTGAGACGAGATACGATACAAAACTACGAATTGCTGGGGCGATTAAGCAAGCACAATATAAATGCAATTGATAACAGTGAATGCTTGGGAGCTTATTGGCTCTCGCTCCTGGTTAGAGGTCTACCCAACACACAGGTCCACAACGACTGGCCGCTCTTACCCTGCAGGTTGAACCTAGCACCTGAGTGTTCAACTTCACATTCTTGTCATTAAAGGCCTGTGACAAAGGTGCATCTGTTGGAGCGGCATCGTCTAAGGCAGTGGTTCTTAACCTTTTTGGAGGTACTGAACCCCACCAGTTTCATATGCGCATTCACCGAACCCTTCTTAATTGGAAAAATAAAAAATTTTTTTCAAATTCAAAACATAGGTACATGTTTTACTGGTGCACAATCATACGAGTCAGGTGTGTGTCTTAACCTCCGCCGAACCCCTGAGACTGACTCACCGAACCCCTGGGGTTCGATCGAACCCAGGTTAAGAACCACTGGTCTAAGGCTTACGCATCTCCCGGGTCTCCATTAGACTTTGTATTGTCTCGGAGGAAGTCCACCCACACCTCCACTTCCACAAACTGCTGGGAGTTGCCTCGCTCTGCCTCGCAGTCAGAATTCTCCTCCTGCTTCACGTTGCCTCCATCGATGCGAAGGTCCGATTTGGGAGTTGAATCTTCATCTTCACATTTTACCTTCACTTCTTCGCTCTTCACCATCACATCTTCACATTTCACCTTCACCTCTTCATATTTCACCTTGATTTCTTTGAAAGTGTCCAAGCTGGGATTTTCTTCCGGTTCTTGTTTGATGAGGGATGGGCTCATTGCAGCACTTTTACTTTCACAAGCTGATTTCACACTCCACTCCTGGTGGATCTTCTGATGCTTGCGTGTTCTCTGGTGTCTTTGGAGATTTTGTGAAAGTGTAAACGCCTTCTCACACACACCGCACTTGAAGGGTTTTTCTCCCGTGTGTGTTCTCTGGTGTCCTACAAGATGAGCTGAAAGTGCAAACGTCTTCCCACACACACCGCACTTGAAGGGTTTTTCTCCCGTGTGTGTTCTCTGGTGTGCTACAAGATGAGCTGAAAGTGCAAACGTCTTCCCACACACACTGCACTTGAAGGGTTTCTCTCCCGTGTGTGTTCTCTGGTGTGTTACAAGATTAGATGAATCTGAAAACGCCTTCCCACATACACTGCACTTGAAGGGTTTCTCTCCCGTGTGTGTTCTCTGGTGTGCTACAAGAGCAGATGACTGTACAAATGCCTTCTCACACACACTGCACTTGAAGGGTTTCTCTCCCGTGTGTGATCTCTGGTGTGATACAAGAGCAGATGACTGTGCAAACGCCTTCTCACACACACTGCACTTGAAGGGTTTCTCTCCCGTGTGTGTTCTCTGGTGTGTTACAAGATTAGATGAATCTGAAAACGCCTTCCCACACACACTGCACTTGAAGGGGTTCTCTCCCGTGTGTGTTCTCTGGTGTGTTACAAGAGCAGATGAATTTGCAAACGCCCTCCCACACACACTGCACTTGAAGGGTTTCTCTCCTGTGTGAGTTCTCTGGTGCCGTGTCAAATGTTCAGGACGATCCGTGCTGTATGCACACCGGTCGCATTGATGCCTTTTTGCACCGAGCTGCGCCGAGTGCCTTTGCTCCATGAGACCACTTCTGCAGAGGCAGCGACAGCTGCAGACAGAAAAAGAAGAATATCCACACCATCTACACTTCAGTATCGAGGCACAGAGGAATGCATATACACAGTCACACGTCACTTACACGTCTATAGTTATTCATATATTTATGATATAGTAAAAAAAAAGTGTCCCAAATTCATCACACGGGCTGTTATGGCACACAATGAGAGGGTAAATGGTCATAAACATGCCTGGAAGCCCTCGTATCTTCAAAATGAACGTTAACCCAAAACTCAGCACACAATTTCAACTGTCTGGCTTCTAAATAAATGTTTATGAAAGCTAAATTCAGCTGACATAAGAAAGCGTGTTGAAAATAATACTATTTGTGTCATGCACAAATGCATAAATTAATGTTCAATCGCAACTTAGAGGTGTGAAGCCAGGCACAGATGTCCTTGACTGCTGGGATGACTTCAGCTGCTGCACGTGTGTGCTGTGATCACTTCCTGACTCCATTCTTACAAAGAGTTCCAGAGGAAAACTAAAATAAACTACTGTTTTGATATAACCTCTGTGCTCAATAGAGTTAATAGACTTTACTGCCAATACAAACTTGACACTGTCACACACTCAGAGGTGGAGCGAGGATTTTCAGGTAGGGGGGGGAAACCCCTCCAGCAATGAAAAATTACAGGAGTTGTTAGTAAGTAAGGAGTTGTTAGTGAGATAGGAGTTGTTAGTACGAAAGGACTTGTCCCTTGCTTTTCATTCGACGCGTGTGATCGTCATCGAGCTCGCTGAACGTGTTGATGCCTTCAGGAAAGAAAAATAGACTTTTGTATTTTGGGGGGGGGGGGAATGACCATGACGTATGTGGCATAAACCCGCATCACACCTGAGCTAAGCGCTCTGCAATGCTTACCCCCCTACCACATGGCTCTTCGCGCGCCGTACTTCTACAGCTGTTCACAGCGTGCCGGGAGATTTTAGGTGGCGCTTCGCTCCTGGCCAATTAAGTCATTGGCTTCTCGGAGTTTCAATACAAATCCGTGTGAAGAACGGGTACAACTGCCATCTTCTTAAATATAAAGCAGAACTTACACGTGTTTAATTGTGTGAAGCAGCAAAAACTCTCCAACGCTGAGCTCTGGCGTCATGAAATTTTCACAGCTTTTGCTGTCTGGAATGTCTAAGCGAACACCACGTCATTCCCTTCTCGAGTGGCAAAAATCGACCTGACGTAGCGGTGGGTTCGGGTTGAATTTCCTTGAGTGAAAACATCCGATTTAGGTAAATTGAAGTGTTTCGGCTTCTTTCTTGCAAGCATAAATTTTTTCTAGGGTTTTTAATTGAATTATGAGGGAATATTAAATTAATCCAAGACAAGAATCCAAGTCCCGGGCAAAGCCGGGTAGTGAAGCTAGTTACTAATAAACCCCAATGATCCTATCGAAATTAGGGATTTCTATCGGATCGTTGGGGGGGCACGTGCCACCCCATCCCCACTGGCTCCACCACTGTCACACACTGGCACGGTTCACAGGTGGTGGTGTGTCCAGACCCACGCCTGGCCACCTTCACCTGCTCAGTATTAATGCTCCACCAAGTAATTCATTGAGGATCAACCAACACAGCCGAGGCTGCGCGTCTCTCTGTGGTGAGATGTTAACTACCTGTCCTGGCATACAGGAAGTCGTGGGTTCGATCCCGACCCTGACGCCTGCTGTATATTTGTAGTTTACGTGTCTCTCTCTCTCCCCGTGGTCGCGTGGATTTCCTTCCCGATCCCCGGGTTTCCCCTCCACATGTGAACACCGCCACGCGTCTAGATTGAACACCGCCACGCGTCTAGAGTGAACACCGCCACGCGTCTAGAGTGAACACCGCCACGCGTCTAGATTGAACACCGCCACGCGTCTAGATTGAACACCGCCACGCGTCTAGAGTGAACACCGCCACGCGTCTAGAGTGAACACCGCCACGCGTCTAGAGTGAACACCGCCACGCGTCTAGAGTGAACACCGCCACGCGTCTAGAGTGAACACCGCCACGCGTCTAGAGTGAACACCGCCACGCGTCTAGAGTGAACACCGCCACGCGTCTAGAGTGAACACCGCCACGCGTCTAGATTGAACACCGCCACGCGTCTAGAGTGAACACCGCCACGCGTCTAGAGTGAACACCGCCACGCGTCTAGAGTGAACACCGCCACGCGTCTAGAGTGAACACCGCCACGCGTCTAGAGTGAACACCGCCACGCGTCTAGAGTGAACACCGCCACGTGTCTAGATTGAACACCGCCACGCGTCTAGATTGAACACCGCCACGCGTCTAGAGTGAACACCGCCACGCGTCTAGAGTGAACACCGCCACGCGTCTAGATTGAACACCGCCACGCGTCTAGATTGAACACCGCCACGCGTCTAGAGTCAACACCGCCACGATTCTAGAGTGAACACCGCCACGCGTCTAGAGTGAACACCGCCACGCGTCTAGAGTGAACACCGCCACGCGTCTAGAGTGAACACCGCCACGCGTCTAGAGTGAACACCGCCACGCGTCTAGAGTGAACACCGCCACGCGTCTAGAGTGAACACCGCCACGCGTCTAGATTGAACACCGCCACGCGTCTAGATTGAACACCGCCACGCGTCTAGAGTGAACACCGCCACGTGTCTAGATTGAACACCGCCACGTGTCTAGAGTGAACACCGCCACGTGTCTAGAGTGAACACCGCCACGTGTCTAGAGTGAACACCGCCACGCGTCTAGAGTGAACACTGCCACGCGTCTAGAGTGAAAACCGCCACGTGTCTAGAGTGAACACCGCCACGCGTCTAGAGTGAACACCGCCACGCGTCTAGAGTGAACACCGCCACGCGTCTAGAGTGAACACCGCCACGCGTCTAGATTGAACACCGCCACGTGTCTAGAGTGAACACCACCACGCGTCTAGAGTGAACACCACCACGCGTCTAGAGTGAACACCGCCACGTGTCTAGAGTGAACACTGCCACGCGTCTAGAGTGAACACCGCCACGCGTCTAGAGTGAACACCGCCACGCGTCTAGAGTGAACACCACCACGCGTTTAGAGTAAACACCGCCACGTGTCTAGAGTGAACACCACCACGTGTCTAGAGTGAACACCACCACGCGTCTAGAGTGAACACCACCACGTGTCTAGAGTGAACACCACCACGTGTCTAGAGTGAACACCGCCACGCGTCTAGAGTGAACACCGCCACGCGTCCAGAGTGAACACCGCCACGTGTCTAGAGTGAACACCACCACGCGTCTAGAGTGAACACCGCCACGCGTCTAGAGCGAACACCGCCACGTGTCTAGAGTGAACACCGCCACGCGTCTACAGTGAACACCACCACGCGTCTAGAGTGAACACCGCCACGCTGTTGACGAGCCTCACCTTGTTGTTATTGTTGTTGTGGGCAGGTCGCTTCTGAAAACAAGAGCGGTACAGCAGCTCAAGCGGGCGTGGCCTGGTAAAAAATGAAAAAAAACTGTGTGAATATTTAAAACAAAACAAAGTTACAAAGTAGCGAGCCAGGTGAAGGGAAATTAAAACTTAAGCAAGATACTCTTTGGTTCTTTCGGTAAAGTCACGTAGAATAAATAAATACATTATATAATAGCATACGACGTTTCAACTGCAACACAAGCAATCACCATCAGGTACAAATGAAAGAGAAAAAAAACCTATTAAACTTAGAGTCAGCTAACATAACAGTCAACACCCTACCTGGTTGATAACGTTCTTCCAAAGATTGCTCAATTTGAGAGAGAGACACGGAGACACAGACAGACACATAAGCAGAGAGAGAGAGAGAGATGACACAAAAACACACAGAGAGAGACACGTAGGGTTAGGGCTTAGGTTTAGCATTAGAGTTTAGGGTTAGAGGTTAGAGGTTAGGGTTAGGGCTAGGGGATGAGGTTCAGGGTTTAGGGTTAGGGGTTAGGGGTTATGGTTAGGGTAGGATTTGTGGAGGATTAGGGTCAATGTTAGGTTCAGTGTTAGGGGTTATGGTTACGGGTTATGGTTAGAGGTCATGGTTATGGGTTAGGGTTAGGGGATGTACGGTATGTACGGTGTGAAAGAAGTTCAACATACACACGAACATGGACACTCGCTAAATAACCTAACCATCATGGACACTCGCTAAATAACCTAACCATCATGGACACTCGCTAAATAACCTAACCAACATGGACACTCGCTAAATAACCTAACCATCATGGACACTCACTAAATAACCTAACCATCATGGACACTCGCTAAATAACCTAACCAACATGGACACTCGCTAAATAACCTAACCATCATGGACACTCGCTAAATAACCTAACCAACATGGACACTCGCTAAATAACTTAACCATCATGGACACTCACTAAATAACCTAACCAACATGGACACTCGCTAAATAACCTAACCATCATGGACACTCACTAAATAACCTAACCAACATGGACACTCGCTAAATAACCTAACCAGCATAGACACTCGCTAAATAACCTAACCAACATGGACACTCACTAAATAACCTAACCATCATGGACACTCGCTAAATAACCTAACCATCATGGACACTCGCTAAATAACCTAACCAACATGGACACTCACTAAATAACCTAACCATCATGGACACTCGCTAAATAACCTAACCATCATGGACACTCGCTAAATAACCTAACCATCATGGACACTCGCTAAATAACCTAACCATCATGGACACTCGCTAAATAACCTAACCATCATGGACACTCGCTAAATAACCTAACCAACATGGACACTCGCTAAATAACCTAACCAACATGGACACTCGCTAAATAACCTAACCAACATGGACACTCGCTAAATAACCTAACCATCATGGACACTCGCTAAATAACCTAACCATCATGGACACTCGCTAAATAACCTAACCAACATGGACACTCGCTAAATAACCTAACCAACATGGACACTCGCTAAATAACCTAACCATCATGGACACTCGCTAAATAACCTAACCAACATGGACACTCGCTAAATAACCTAACCAACATGAACACTCGCTAAATAACCTAACCATCATGGACACTCGCTAAATAACCTAACCAACATGGACACTCGCTAAATAACCTAACCAACATGGACACTCGCTAAATAACCTAACCATCATGGACACTCGCTAAATAACCTAACCATCATGGACACTCGCTAAATAACCTAACCAACATGGACACTCGCTAAATAACCTAACCAACATGGACACTCGCTAAATAACCTAACCAACATGGACACTCGCTAAATAACCTAACCATCATGGACACACGCTAAATAACCTAACCAACATGGACACTCGCTAAATAACCTAACCAACATGGACACTCGCTAAATAACCTAACCAACATGGACACTCGCTAAATAACCTAACCAACATGGACACTCGCTAAATAACCTAACCATCATGGACACTCGCTAAATAACCTAACCATCATGGACACTCGCTAAATAACCTAACCATCATGGACACTCGCTAAATAACCTAACCATCATGGACACTCGCTAAATAACCTAACCAACATGGACACTCGCTAAATAACCTAACCATCATGGACACTCGCTAAATAACCTAACCAACATGGACACTCTCTAAATAACCTAACCAACATGGACACTCGCTAAATAACCTAACCAACATGGACACTCGCTAAATAACCTAACCATCATAGACACTCGCTAAATAACCTAACCATCATGGACACTCGCTAAATAACCTAACCATCATGGACACTCGCTAAATAACCTAACCAACATGGACACTCGCTAAATAACCTAACCAACATGGACACTCGCTAAATAACCTAACCAACATGGACACTCGCTATATAACCTAACCATCATGGACACTCGCTAAATAACCTAACCATCATGGACACTCGCTAAATAACCTAACCAACATGGACACTCGCTAAATAACCTAACCATCATGGACACTCGCTAAATAACCTAACCATCATGGACACTCGCTAAATAACCTAACCAACATGGACACTCGCTAAATAACCTAACCATCATGGACACTCGCTAAATAACCTAACCAACATGGACACTCGCTCAACAACTTAACCAACTAGGTGCTGTAGCTCCACCGTGTGGTCACGTGGTACCACTGCAGTGCCTGGCGCGGTGACAGCAGCAGTGTCACTGTGCGGTGTCTTCACGGCTTCATCGCAGCCAACCCGCTTGGGACTAACGCCAGGACGCCGCAGCAGCAGCAGCAGCAACTCACAACTGCGGGGAACGCGCGGTGTGACGTCTGACAGCGGCAACTGCTGGCGAACTGTGTTGGCCTACACTGCACATGTCCACCACATAGCAGACTTCACCACGAATTGAATGCTTGTGGTACTGCACGTGTACACCAGAGGGCACACGTAACACGTCAAGCGCCGGAAATAAAAACGAAACTATCTGGCCGATTTGCACTTCAATTCTTTATTTCTTCACCGATTTTCAAGTAACAAACTACTGCATTGACATCCCAAGCTGTCCCATACGTTTACACCGTTGCATATTTGGTGAACATCGGTGCTGAAATAGTGAAACGCACTGCATTCCCAAACAGTGCGCTTCAAATCGGCAACAATCACAGCCATCATTGACTTCAATGCAAAATGCCGCCCCGGTTCCACAAGTCACACAACAAGCAAGTGGTGTGTGCCCTTCGACTCTACTCGACAGAGGGTGGGTGAGGGTGGTGGTGAGGGTAGTGATGAGGGTGGTGGTGAGGGTGGTGGTGAGGGTGGTGGCGAGGGTGGTGAAGAGACGGTGGTGGTGAGGGTGGTGGTGAGGGTGGTGGTGAGTAGACGGTGGTGAGGGTGGTGAGGGTGGTGGGGAGGTGGTGGTGAGGGTGGGGAGAGTGTGGAGAGGTGGTGGTGAGGGTGGTGAGGGTGGTGGTGGTGAGACGGTGGTGGTGAGACGGTGTTGGTGAGACGGTGGTGGTGAGACGGTGGTGGTGAGACGGTGGTGGTGAGACGGTGGTGGTGAGACGGTGGTGGTGAGACGGTGGTGGTGAGACGGTGGTGGTGAGACGGTGGTGGTGAGACGGTGGTGGGGTGAGGGTGGTGGTGAGACGGTGGTGGTGAGACGGTGGTGGTGAGACGGTGGTGGTGAGACGGTGGTGGTGAGGGTGGTGGTGAGACGGTGGTGGTGAGACGGTGGTGGTGAGACGGTGGTGGTGAGACGGTGGTGGTGAGACGGTGGTGGTGAGACGGTGGTGGTGAGACGGTGGTGGTGAGACGGTGGTGGTGAGACGGTGGTGGTGAGACGGTGGTGGTGAGACGGTGGTGGTGAGACGGTGGTGGTGAGACGGTGGTGGTGAGACGGTGGTGGTGAGACGGTGGTGGTGAGACGGTGGTGGTGAGACGGTGGTGGTGAGACGGTGGTGGTGAGACGGTGGTGGTGAGACGGTGGTGGTGAGACGGTGGTGGTACGGTGGTGGTGAGACGG